TGTACCTCAGATCAGTGGGTGTTATTGTCAGTCCGACATAACAATCAATATTGCAAAACCCTCCAAATGATAGTCCTCTCTCCGTAATACTCTCACGCTTTCCATGGCGATACTGACTATAGTTGACTACAGTGTACACTTCATACTCGCCATTAGGTTTGACAATCTCCCAAAGAATCTCAGCTTCTTGACAGTCATAAAATCTATGTATAATATATCCATATAGAGAGTTGTTGAACCATTGAGTGAGATATTTATTGAGGAAACAAAATTCCCTGCATCAAGGTGGCATTAATACCTCTTAGAAGTCAAGAAGTCTCTACACTTACATGAGAAGGAACGAAAGTAATCACAGTTGCAATCACACAGCCCACCATCAAACAAAATAGCAGCTACAACCAATAAGGGAGCGGTTTTTGTTAACATCTTCACTTGCTCAAATTCCGGAGCAACTCGGATCAGCAGCAGAAACGCGCACTGACGTGGCAACGCCGTGCTTTCAATTTTGCCCCGCTGAAGCGCTGGCGCGCATGCGCAGCAGGACTTGTTTGTCAGTCTGTCGGTGTCGACGCTTCTTCTATAGCACACAGGCTATAAAAAGGCGATTCCTGAAGCTACTGGGTTAGAGTATACCGTGAATGCAAGCGAAAAAGCCAATTATCATAATCGGATTGGCTTACCCCGTGCCTGATCCGCTTTATCTGTGCATCATGGAGGCACCGTACGTCACAACAGAAGGCGTGTGACGACTCCCGCCTAGTCTGGTTTAGCTAACCAGTTGTTTCCGCGAGAGAGAGAGAGAGAGAGAGAGAGAGAGACCGCGGCTGGGTCCTGCCATCTGTTAGCGGCGGTCGCGGTATAATCGTCATCATCATTCAGAAGGGGTGGCTCCGCGAGGCGCGCGCGCGATGATTGAGGTTTGGAACGAGGTATATAGTGGAAAGAGCAAATTTAGATATTGAAGGTAATATATAGGAGAGAATTTTGGACATTTGTTGGTAGAAGGACAAAGGGTAAGAGGAGGGGGATTACAGCTTTGAGGAATAGTGCTGGGTGTCAGTGACTAGTACAAAGGGCAGGTTAGAGGTGTTAAAGAGGCATTATATCAGCAGTTGGGCACTTGTATACTGTGTTGGTACAGCCTTTGATGATAGTTGGAAAAAGGAAGTGGATAAGAAAGTGTGTGAGTTGTCAACATATTGTGTAGAAATGAATTGGATAAGGAAATAGATTTGGAGGAGATTGCATTGTGTGTTAGAAAGTTGAAGAATAATTGCCCAGCGCGTTAGCGCGAGGCAACTACTCCGCGATATACGTACGTACGTGTCGGTCACGCTTAAGAATGCCAATTAGTCACGCTTAGGGAATGTAAATTAGCCACCAAACGGAAGTGTAACTTCCGTCATTCGTAGGAAGTCTAGCTTCCGCCGTGCGCGCAGATTTCTGGCTTCGCGCGCAGTCAGTAGAGCGCGCGCACGAGCGGCCTCAGTCGGACTGTTTACGCATTGGCTGGCAGTGGAGGGAGGGCCTCATAGTTAACTTGTTTAAGAAGGGAGATGAGGAGGATCCTGGAAATATAGGGGCATCACTCTGCTGAGTGTGGTTGGGAACGTCTTTTGTAAGGTTTTGAACAACAGGTTGGTGAAGCATCTGGACGAGGGCAAAGCATTGCATGAGGGCCAGGCTGATTTTAGGGTTGGAAGGGGTTGTATTTATACACTGAATGAACAATGAACTCGTGCAGGGTAGACTAAAGGAGGGGAAGGAGACATATGCATTCTTTCTAGATGTGCGTAAGGCATACGATAGTGTGTGGCGTAACGGCCTGTGGTTTAAGTTGTGGGAATTTGGGGCAAGAGGGAAGATGTGGAGGGTCATAAAGAAGATGTACGAGTTTTCAAAGAGTGCTGCATTGTTGGATGGGGAACGGTCAGAGGCATTTGATGTGGAACAGGGCGTAGCTCAGGGATGTAGCTTATCTCCAATTTTGTTTTCCGTATTTATGAATGGGTTGTTGAGGGAGGTGGAGGAAGCTGAGATTGGGATCGATTTATAGTAGTGGTGGGAGACTTGGAGGACTTTTGTTTGCAGATGACTTCGTTGGTGTTAGTGAGTATAAGGATCAGTTACAGACGCCTATAGATGTGGTGCGTGCCTACTGTCGAAAATGGAGGCTAAAGACTAATGTGAGTAAGAGTGCAGTGATGGTGTTTGCTAGGGAGTCAGTGGATGGTGCTTGGAAATGGGGGGAGTATGTTTTGCCTAGAGTATCTAAAATACTCATACTTGGATGTTGATTTTACTAATACTGGTGCATGGGATGTGCATATCAAGAATGTGTTAGACAATGGTAGAAGGAAGGTTAATCAGTTGCATAGTGTAGGGATATTAATTTGAGTGCTTGCAGGTTGTTGTTGCTGGCAGTGGTTAGGCCAACTTTAGAGTATGGGGGTGAGGTGTGGGAAGCCAATAAGACTCAGGCAGCTGCATTAGACTCCGTTATGCTGGGAGGAGCTAAGCGTATTCTAGGGTGTTTGTCTAAGACATGTAATGAAGCCGTTAGGGGGGATAGGGGCTTGATACGTTACAGGGGCATAGGGATGAGAATAAGTTGAAGTGGTGGTATAAGTTAGCGGCATTGCCAGGCAATAGGTATCCAAAGAAGCTTTTTAATCAGGAATGGAATTTTAAGCCACGGAGAGGCAGGCAGAGGAAGTGTTGGAGTAAGGTCATTCATGGTCTCTTTTCGTCATTAGGTCTTGACAAAGCAGAGTGGTAGCATGATATTCAAAATGGGGATTGCTCCTTGAAGGGCTTTCTGTCTATAGTAGGGGACAGTATTAATGAGAGGGAGATTAGAAAGTTTGAAGAGGGGCTAAATACCAAAGTAAAGCTGTTATTGTATAAGACATTTAACAAAGGTGGTAGAGTTCAAAAAGTACTTGCATGGGAAAAGTGATGCTGGGTCTAGATTAATGTTTAAGTTCAGGTCAGGCACACATGGGCTAAATGAGGAACTGGGTAGGCATAGGGGGAGGGAGGGGATGAAGAAGTGCCTGTTGTGTGATGATGAGTGTGAAAGTGTGAGTAATGTGTTGTGGGAGTGTCCAGTATATAGTAGTCTTATGAGAAATTTCTTAGTTGCCCTGCAGGGGAAGCTTGGGGATGATGGGTTTGAGCATTTCCAGTCGCTTGATAGTTTCAGGAAAGCATCCTTTATATTGGGTAGTGAGCTGTGGGAGGATAATTTGGTTCTTTGCTTCACCTTGTTAAAGGTTTTATTTCAGATGTTTGGGAGCTATGTAAGGTTAGGTTATATTATATGGCGATAATCCCAGCGTACAACAGACCTAGTCTCAGATTGCGTCTGGGGAGCTGCAGGGTGTCGCTGGTGGAAGGGGTGAGTTGAGGTGTCTGGGAGGTGAGACAGACACCGCATGTTCATAATAAAAAAATGAAAAGCACTGAAGTGCAAACCCCCGGTTCATTGTGACGCGCACGCGTAAGTAAACGCATGCGCCGTACCACTAATTGATGGGCTGGGTTTAGTATTAGCTGTTACTTGTGGTCTCTTGCCAGCTCGCGCAGTCTGACGCGGGCTAACTACACTACTAGATAGCATGCGAGAGGCGATACACGCCCTGCGTTGCATCTTCTGGTGCCTCCGAGGTAACCTAGCCCTGGACCGTCCGCCGCCTTGGTTTGTAACAGCACCCACTTCGGATGATTTTGCCCAGCACAACGACAGTTGATCTTCAGTCGAACTAACAGGAGCGGAATGTAGGCCGGCGCTCTTTCACTTACTAGGGCATCCAAAGTGAGTGCTGTTACAAACCAAGGCGGCGGACGGTCCAGTTTGTGAAAACACTCACAAATAGCTACAGCTAATGTCATCATCTGAGAAACCTACCCTTATTGCTCACGTATGCAGTTAAACACTCTGCCTTCAGAGTGGCTTACCGTTGTTCTTTCTCCTGGTGGTTGATCTTTTCTTAAGGAAAAGGATGGAGGCAAGTAGAACGGCTATAATCAAGCCCAGCAGTGTCAGACAAAGGACAATAGAAAGTCCAGTTACTGTTGGAGTCCCTAAAAAAGCACATCTCCACTATAATGCTGGTTTGGTAGTAGTAGAGCCTACCATTTTCTTGCTTGTCAGTTGCAGAGGCTAATGCTACACTGATATCAGGTAGCTCCAGTGTATTGTAGCCCTCTGATCCATCCATTAGTATCTCTGATACCAGTACATGGTATGGTCCTGATTGTTTCACCTTGAAACACTCCACCAATGCTATGTCATAAGGTGAGTGACGAGGTATTGTGTAGTTGAATGTAATCTGATCACTGAAAAGTGTTATTGCACATCCTTTAGCAGTAGAGCCATTTGTGAAAATACAAAAGGCACATATCCCTCCACTCACTGGTTTAACCTTGGAATACTTCAGTGAGGTACCTGCAAGTAGCATAGTCATTTTAGTTGTATTATTGCAGTCATACCACTGGCATACCTTCTGTAATCGAAACTGTTACGTTCACTTGAGTGCAAACATGTTCCTGCAAAACACCGTAGTGTATCTCATGGACACTTACACTGTACTCCCCTCCTTCTGGAACTGAGAAAGATTCCAGTAGTGCAATGTTGTCATCATTGTTATTGCTTCGGGTGGCTTTGAAAACATAAGCATGTTTGTTGTTTTTCATTATGATAGCACAGCCATCAGCAGTAGAATCAGAAAAGAAAGAACAGGAAAGACATATTCCTGGTTTTAGCAGTTTACTAATGACTTTGACAGCTGCTTCAATGAGTGTCAAGAACGCTGGAAGAATGAAATAACACATGGTATCCAATTTTTATTGCTATGTCAACCACTAAGTGTGTCACCTTTTCTGGTAGCATTTCCCTCTCCCACTTCATTCCATGCACTGATCTGGTAGGTGGTGCTGGCACATGGTCTCTCTAGAGTGATGTGTGTTTCAGTGGTGTTTGTCTGTTCTGAGACTCCCTGACTGGTGATGTAGACACTGTAGTGGAGTATGGGGACTCCTTCCAGGGTGAATGGAGGACTCCATGACACATTAATGCTACCAACTCCAACTGCTTCAACACTTACATCAGTGGGAGCTTTTAGGAGACCTGCAAGGTTTATATAGGTTTAGCTACAGATGAAAAGGTAGCTATAACACAATTCACCTTGTATTCTGAGGGTTGTGGTATAGGTAGTGTTGGAAGTGTTAAAACACTCGGGAAGACGCACAATTCCTGTGATTTGAGCTCCATTGTACCTCAGATCAGTGGGAGTTATTGTCAGTAGGAGATCGCAAGAACTGTAGCAAATCCCTACAAACAATAGTCCTCTCTCTGCAATATTATTCTGATGCCTTCCATAGTGATAGTGACTATAGTTGACTACAGTGTACACTTCATACTCGCCATTAGGTTTGACAATCTCCCAAAGAATCTCTGCTTTCTTGACAGTCATACAAATATATACGATACATTTCCAAATAGAGAGTAGTATAACCATTGAGTGAGGTGTTTATTGTGGAGCCAAAATTCCCTGTATCCAAGGTGGCAATAATACCTCTGAGAAGTCAAGAAGTCTCTACACTTACATGAGAAGTAATCAAAGTCATCACAGTAGCAAAAACACAGGCCACCATCAAACAAAATAGCAGCTACAACCAAAATGGTAGCGGTTTTAGCTATCATCTTCACTTGCTCAATTGCGACAGCAACACAGATCAGCAGCAGGAACGCGCACTTCTATGGAACGCCGTTTCCGCCAAAAGTAAGGGCTCTCCGCTTGTCAAAAATCGATTTCACATCGATCACGTAGTTACTCGATTTTTGGGGGGGAAATCGTTCTCTAAATCCATCTTTTAGCTACTTGGTAAAATTTACTCGCGTTAGCTTCAAGAAGCGCGTGTATAGCTAACCCGTCCTAAAGACGTCATATCCGTAGTATCCGAAACTTCTAGTACGTGATGCCCAGCCCACTAAAACCCGCGGACTAAGGATGAATTGGACGTTTTGCGATTATTATGATTGGAGATCGAGATCTAAGACTGAGACAAACGCGTGCCTCTGCCAACCTTTGGCCGTGCAAGATAGGGACAAGGTTGCAATACATCCAAACAACCGGGCGCCGCCTATATAGTCGACGGCGAACGTCTTCGATATAGCTTCTTTTCGGCCCGAATCTCTTTCGCCACGGCGATTGTTTTTCGCTACTGGAGTTTTCGTCACGGGCATCTTTTCTTTTTCAGTCCTTGCAAACATCAAGTTTTTTGCTCCTGTCTTGTGAGTGTGGTGATGCTGCATTGGTGCTGTTATATATAGCAGAATTGCATGGTTGATATTTGTGAGTTGCAGCAGATTTGGTTGTTTGGTGTTGCTTTGCATTGCGGCTTTGCATTGCGGCTTGTTGGTTGCTTCTGGCATGGCCGCCAAAAGTGATAGTCGGTCGGTTGGTCCCTTGTTGAAACTGCCCAATTCTATCTTGATAAGTTAGATGAATCTAAACGGTCTCTGTGGAAGTGCATTATGTTCAAAGGTTCTTGGTTCACTTCTTCTGAGTTTGAATCCTATTGTGGGAAGAAGACAAAAAGGTGGAGACAGTCTATTATGCATTTTGGTAAACCATCGAGTGATTACAGCCTATCCTGTCCACCAAAACCAGGTGCTAAACATGGCTGTTGCCAGTCATTGTCCTCACGGCCGCACACCTCAAGGTCGTAGTCAAAGCACTGCAATGTCTCGTTGGCCTCATCCGGTTCTGATAAATTTCACAACCCAATGGGATCGGGAACTAATTCTGCTCAGTAAGAGTAACTTCCGTACCTTTAGAATACCTCGATTGTTTTTGTCCATAATGCACCCGCTCTTGCTTCCTGTCGCTCTTCATCGCAAACTGATTATAGTACGAAGTCTCTTTGCTTCTTTTGCTAGTGTCTCTTCCTCTAGAAGTTCTGGTTCTCTTTTCTTCTCTGACCTGTGTTGTAGGGCTGGAACCATCTCTGTTGACCACCCTGTCTGCCTCTCTGAGTGGTGCCACCACTCCCCCGAATGTCTGCCAGTGAAGGCCATCAAAATTCTGGCACGGATGACAGTTAAGGCGTAGGCCAGCAGCTCCAACGTCATTCAGGGGTCGGCAGGACACCATAGTTGCTGTGTAGACGAGAATAACTGCGTCTGCGATGGCTCACAATTTCGTATCCAGGTAGCAGGGAGAACCTGGATATTTGGCCTCTGAGGGCTGACGAGTGGTCGGCAATGTTGACCGCTGGAAGGAGGGGTATACGTAGTAAGTTAGTTGTTGTGTGTTGTTCCACGAGTAACCTAGAAGTATCTAGTTTCCATTTGAAGGAAATCGCTGGACAGTGTGCAGTCTTTCCTCTGTTCTGCTGAAGTTGTTCACATTTTCATCAGCTGCTGTAATGAAACATGCTGCATGTACACTATATATCAAGTATACTAACAGCTCACTCTATTCAGCAAAATTAAGAAGAAAACAGATGAGATAGAAAGGAGGACGGCAAGTATAGGACTTCATACATGGTTACTTACGTGGGGCCAGCAAGATATGCACAATCTAGTGTACAATGGGGGCAAAATAATACGACAACATAAGCATTTAACCTAAAAGTGGATGCTTGCACAAGAATTCTACAGGGAATAAAAAAAATTTGCCTAATTTGTTTGTAAGAGGGCCATTTCTCTATTAGATTAGCATGAAAGAGTACTAACACTACTCCGCCAAATACCATGGTACAAGTCACAGATTCCTCACACTCTAGATCTGGAGTTATCTCATCCATGCCACCCAGGCCATTGGGCCCTGGGGGATTTGAGATGGTTGACAGATCATTATTGACTCATTATTGCATCAGATTTCCTCATTAAGGAAGAAAATGTGCATGAATTAAAAGTAGGTGCATAAAATCACTAAGGAGTTAAGTGATTTGAAAAACATCTTTCTACTGCTTAACAGCAGATTCTACAATTTGTCCAGCTTGATGGCCAGATCTATAATACTTTTTCATAATCCCTGCATGGCCTTGCGTGCAAACTTTCGGATGAGGTCTGTGGATACGGAGTCCAGGGCGGGGTTAAATATTTGCTACAGTTTAACCAAAGTGAAATTATTAGAGTGTGCACGGCAGTAAACTTTTGCCTGACCCCATACTCTTTCAATGGCGTTGAGCTCACAAAGAAATTTGGGGAAGAATTAAGTCCAATGGCCACTTTCGTGAAGTAAGTATTAAACGATAGTTACGAAGTCGTCATGGTTTGTGAGGAGCAACTTGCATTTCTCTGAATGCATTATTAACCCCCGGCGCGCATGCGCAGCGATGGTTACGGTACGTAAGTTTGTCTGTCTCTCCGTCTGTTACCCCGTTTTTTGCCACCACGCGCAACGAGACAACAAAACAACTGTACCAAAAGGTTCAGCGCTACACTGGCTTGATATTAAATTTGGCGATTTTCGTATAAGTATACGCGTTCGAGAGATACGGCGTGAAAACCTAGTGAACAAGCCAATATGTATTGGCTTACCCCGCCCGATTCTGCTGTATATGCACTACGGAGGCATGCGATCAACGGAAGACGAGTGAAGAGTGCAGCGAAATCGCTAAACGATAGTTTAGCTTGCAAAAGATAAATCTAAGCTGTAGGTATAGCTAGTTGAGCGGGTATCCCGACTGCACCAACCGCGGGTAATAATACCGATCCCTCCGCGCCTGCGTTTGTTACACTAGTGCGCGCATTTGTATTTCGCATGCGTATGCATCTAACATGCGTAGACACTGAGCTCAGTGTGGCTTCATTCGTCGTTGTCCCGTGGAAGCTACCCGTATAGTGGATGCCAACAAAAGGTCTGGGTTAGCGCTAGCCTCGCACGTGTTTTACAGAGCCTTTTTTCCGTCAGACCACGCGCGCACACGCACACATTAATTAACAGCCCTTGTTGTTAATCAGTATTTCCGACTTTTCAGGCCACTTCTGATACTTGAGTCATTCATTCGTGATGGTGATATTCTCAGTCCTGAAACCAAATTGTTGTATGATTTGTCTGATTTCCGCGTGATCATGGTTCTGTTGTGTACTTGAGATTTGATGAGATGATGGTAGTTTCTGTCGTTCTTCGATTTCATGTTTCTAGGCTTTAGGACATGTTCACTGTTTATTCTCATTCAGGCCTGCTTAATATAGCCAGTCTGTGTCTTCTAAACATGTTCATTGGCCTAGAGTCACACACTCTGATTGTGACAAGTAATATTGCTAGCCAGACCCACAGGTACCACGCCGCCGAGGGTTTTGCAGTTTAGTGCTTGAATAACTAATTGTTTATCCCCCTTTGTTGCAGAATTATGTGCAACACCTTGCAACCCATTTGTGTGTCACCATTCTCTGTGGTTGGTTTGCCCACACCATGTCCCTTACCCTCCGCCCTCCCCCGTCTTTCACCAAAATGTTCTTTACAATAAGTGCTTGTTCATAGAACTTTCGGTGGCAACTGCTTTGGTCAAACGACCAAACAATGGTGTATTTATCCTTTCTGTACTTGAAATCGGCAATATTTGCTGCATTTTCAACATGGGCCATGAAACGGTTCCCCTTCCAATAGCCATACTCGAGCAGCTGTCGAGCACTCTGACTGATTTCGGGGTTGTGTTCCTTTGCCCTTTTTAAGTGGGCGTCCATAAGTTTGAGGAACCCTCCATGCTACTCCACGAAATCTGAAACCATTATGCCGCTTCCCTTTGTTTTTGGTAGAATTGCTGGTCTGTCTTCCTCCCCCCTATCCACGTCTGATATTAGTGTTAAAGATTGATTCATCGGGGTAAATGATCACCAACTCTTCATAATATTCAAGCTGATTCATGGTGCCTTCGTTGCTGCATGGAGGTGGTGGGCGGTGTGAGTTTCGAAGCTCGTGCAAAGGTTTGAGGAAAGTCTGTCGGTGATGAATGACATCCTCCCACTCATGTCCATTAATGTCGACACCCTTCTTGTGGCTTACCGGTAATGCAATGCGGTGCAGAATAGAATCCATCTCGGAAAGTGTTGTTGCAGGTGGCTTGATGGGAGACAGGTGTTGTTTGACCGCAGAATGGTTTCGTCGTCATATTTGGCTCTACCTTCACAAATACGTGCTCGCGAACCCACTTTACAGCTTTGTTGTTGAGTACTTCATTGTCTCGTACTTGCCCTGCTGCTGGATCCTTCATTCTCGAAAAAGTCGTTTCTGTATCGGCACACAGTTTTTTCTCATTGAAACCCACCACTGAGAGCATTTGGAAAAGAGTGGGGGTTCCTTGTTTTTGATGATATTCTATTGCACTACCGGTAATAGCTATTGGACAGATGCCGAGTGCATTATCGATTCTCGGGACCGCAAACTGAGTTTAATAATAACCGTAGTATACGAGCGTGAACGGTGCTTCAACTGGTTGAACAGTCGAGCTCCCGTGCGTTCACGGGCCAGCAAAGACTGGACTACCACCCGTGAAGTAGCTCCCAGTAAGTTTGCTACATAGCTCCTGGGACAGTTTGCCAGCCTGCGCGCAATAAATTAAACTGTTCAAAATTTCCCAAATGTTCATAGTATGGCATCCATTGCATATTTATTACAAGTACAGCTATCAGTCTTTTCACAGCATACTAAACACTTCACACACACTTAGTCTAGACATGTTTAACTTCTTTCGTTTGTGGTGTTTATCTATATACTAAGAGTGCCATAAGCAGCATTAGGAGCCACTGCAATCTCCTTGTCTTGTCCAGTGATAGGCCTCAGCTCCACATGTTCATACATGTGGTCTCCACCATCAGTGACTGAGGGAGGTGGTGGTGGTAGTTGGGTGTTCTCATACAGTGGAGCAGTTGTCACAGGAACTGGTGGTCCGGGGTCTGTGGTACATTCTGAATCTGTGCAAACTGTTAGCATGTTTTAGCAGCATTAAGTTTGTATAAAAAAAGACAAGTACGGCTGTCTGCATCTGTGATAGGCACTGAGAAAACAACCCTTATTGCTCACATATGCATGTACACTCTGCTTTCAGGGTGGCTTACTGTTGTTCTTTCTCCTAGTTGTCGATCTTTTTTAAGGAAATGTTTTAGAAGAATTAAGTTTTGTATAAAAAAGACACAAATACAGCTGTCAGCATCTGTGATAGGCTCTGAGAAAACAACCCTTATTGCTCAGGCATGCAGTTTCACTCTGCCTTCAGAGTGGCTTACCGTTGTTCTTTCTCCTTGTGGTTGATCTTCTGTTAAGGAAAAGGATAGAGGCAAGTAGAACGGCTATAATCAAGCCCAGCAGTGTTAGACCAAGGACAGCAGAAAGTCCAGTTACTGTTGGAGTCCCTAAAAATAGCAAATCTCAACCTATAACGCTGTTTGGTAGTAGTAGAGCCTACCATTTTCTTGCTTGGCAGTATTGTCAGTTGCAGAGGCTAATGCTATAGTGATATCAGGTTGCTCCAGTGTATTGTAGCCCTCAGATCCATCCATTAGTATCTCTGATACAAGTACATGGTATGATCCTGATTGTTGCACCTTGAAACATTCTTGTAATGCTATGTCATAAGCTGAGTGACGACGTATCGTGTAGTTGAATGTAATCTGATCACTGAATAGTGTTATTGAACATCCTTTAGCAGTAGAGCCATTTATGAAAACACAAAAGGCACATATCCCTCCACTCACTGGTTTCACATTGGAATACATGACTGAGGCACCTACAAGTAACATACATAGTAACTTTAGTTTTGTTGTTACAGTGATACCATAGGCATACCTTTTGTAATTGAAACTGTAATGTTGTTCACTTGAGTGCAAGCATGTTTCTGCATAACACCGTAGTGTGTCTCATGGACACTGACACTGTACTCCCCTCCTTCTGGAACTGAGAAACATTCCAGTAGTACAAGGTCGTCATCATTGTTATTGCTTCGGGTGGCATTGAAAACAAAAATATGTTTTTTATTTTCCATTTTGACAGTGCAGCCATCAGCAGTGGAATCAGAGGAGAAAGAACAGGAAAGACATATTCCTGGTTCTAACAGCTCACTAATAACTTCGACAGCTGCTTCAATGATCATGAAGAATGCTGGAAGAATGAAATGTTTGTGTTAATGTTGAGTAATGCATGGTATCCGGTTTATTAGCGAGGGAAGTGGTCTGAATGTAAAATTATGCGTATATTTTTTCTAATGCACTTACCAAGTCATTCTAAGTATGTGCTATAACACTCGTGAAATATCGAACTGCTCGCTTTGCTCGTCCTCAAAGTTTTGCATTCCTCTATTATACCATTACTAAGACAACACCTGCATGGAATTATTGTGTCACCAATAACTCTGCCACCTGCTTCAATCACAGTCGTGAATTCTGCATTTTTTAAAGCAGGTATTTAGCTATGCCCCACATCATTATAGATGGTTTTTCAGTTTGAAAAACCCATTGCTATGTCAAGCACGTGTTAGATTGTCTCACCTTTTCTGGTAGCATTTCCCTCTCCCACTTCATTCCATGCACTGATCTGGTAGGTGGTGCTGGCACATGGTCTCTCCAGAGTTATGTGTGTTTCAGTGGTGTTTCTCTGTTCTGAGACTCCCTGACTGGTGATATAGACACTGTAGTGGAGTATGGGGACTCCTTCCAGGGTGAATGGAGGACTCCATGACACATTAATGCTATCAACTCCATCTGCTTCAACACTTACATCAGTTGAGGCTTTTAGGAGACCTGTAAGGTGTATATAGGTTTAGCTGCAGATTCTTACGTAAAGGTAGATATAACACAAATCACCTTGTATTCTGAGGGTTGTGGTATTGGTTGTGTTGGAAGTGTTAAAACACTCAGGAACACGCACCATTCCTGTGATTTGAGCTCCATTGTACCTCAGATCAGTGGGAGTTATTGTCAGTTGGAGATTACACTCAGTACGTTGACGGCAAACCCTCCAAATGTTAGTCCTCTCTCTGTAATACTCTCACGTCTTCCACGGCGATAGTAACTATAGTTGGCTACAGTGTACACTTCATACTCGCCATTAGGTTTGACAATCTCCCAAAGAATCTCAGCTTCTTGACAGTCATAAAAATCTATACGATATGCATCCATATAGAGAGTAGTTGATCCATTGAGTGAGATGTTTATGGAGGACCCAAAATTCCCTGCATCAAGGTGGCATTATAGAAGTCAGAGAGTCTATATTTTATCTGTACACTAACATGAGAAGTCACGAAAGTCATCACAGTAGCAATCACACAGCCCACCATCGAACAAAAGTACAGCTGCAACCCAAAAGGTAGCAGCTTTCGCTAACATTATTGACTTGCTTAAACTTGTGTTGGACGCGACAGTAGATCTGACAGCGAGCGCAAGAGCGAGAGCAACGCGCTGACAGGGCAACGCCTTGCGCATGCGCATATTTTTTCCCCAACTTCATTTGTCGCTAGTCCGGCTTTACCCGCGTTGTCTACCACGAAAAGGTGGGCACAGTAAGATGGCCTCGGCGGAAAACTAGCGCGTTTGGATGAGGAGAGAGATATTTCTGCTGCTGCTGCCGCTTCCAATGGCGGTTGACGCTTCAAAGCAGTCTTTGTCTTTGTCCCCCAGGTTATAGCTATCATTGTAATCTGATTACTGAAGCCTGCCTATGAAACCACCCCACCATATGTGCCACAATCTAATTGCATCCTTGTTGGAGACACTACACATACACCCTGCTTCAGGTAGGAGCAGCCCATTAGCTTCTGGTTTTTTCTCAACAGTACTCATTGATCGTCAGAGTTAGGTAGAAACAGGTTTACTATCTAATGTCGCTACTAGAAAACCTGGGTGCCATTTAGAATAAGTTTTACTAAACTGAGCACTGTGACATATTTACTAATGCAGACACATGATCATGTTCTTACCAAAAAAAACATCCAGCTCCTTCGTAGGCACAACACTATTTTCAAGGAAGCAAAGAGATAATTGAGAGACGCTCACTTTCAACAGTACAAGAAACTTAGAAACAAGATTGTTGGTCTTATGAATCAAAAAGAGAGAGTACTTTGACAAACTGGTAATGGCTAAATCCAAAGATTTCTGGACTGATGAAATAGAGAAACAGTTCCAGCTCTTCAACATGAGAATCACACTGTTACAGGAGACACAGAAAGAAGGCATGGCTACTGAACAAATTTTTTTCTAGTTGCTGGAACACTGCGGAGCAGCCACTCACTGAAGAATCATATCACTGCCCTGACCTGCCAACCCATGAAGTCACCCCTGAAGAGGTTTTTGCCCTCATGAATAAACATGATGTCAATAAAGCCAATGGCTACAACTGCATACCTGCTTTTGTGCTGAAAGACACAGGCAGAAGCATTTCTTCACCTTTAGCCCAATTGTTTTACCTCTCCCTTTGGTCAGGAAAGTTCCCAGAAATGTTGAAGATGGCAATTATTGTCCCAATTCCAAAGTCAGCTGATTAAGTGATCCATCTAACTACAGGCCTATCTCACTCTCAGCATTGTTAGTGAACTATTGGAGAAAATTGTGTATGC